GAATTATTTTAAGTAAAATAAGCAGATCAATTTAAAGAGTTCTAATTTATATATATTTATTTTTAGTTGTAGGTGGACACAATACCTTTCTTTTATTTTTATGTAGTGCTGAGGATCAAACCCCATGCCATACATGTGCTAGGCAAGCACTCTACCACTGAGCCACAACTCCAGCCCCTAAAGAGTTCTATTAAGTAATAAATAATAGAGGGGATACACAGATAAAGCAAATATATGAAGGCTGTATATAATACTGGATTTTAGAAAACGCTGCTCAGAGCTCTTTTCCAGTAGAAACACTGGAAATAGAGAAAAGTTAAATTAATTGTTGTGTACTCCTATATTGCCACCTCTTTTTGAAAATTTAAACATTTTTTCAAGTGTTTAAGATATTCTCATGACAGTTATAAATGGGTCTAAAGAAGAGAAATAATGGCACATACAAATCTTTCCTAGAAGTATTCTAGAAGCCCAGAATAATCTTAACATTTAGTAGATGTGTCAAAGTTCATAGCAGATCCATGCTACAGTTCAGAAGTGAATGCTAGTCTGGAAGAATACAGATTTTAGATTAGGTTGAGGGCCTTAAAAGTATTGGTATGTGAGCCCAAAGCACTACTGCAGTCTTTACTCTGCTTTCAGGAAACTTCTGCCCTCTCTGTGACAAGTGTTATGATGATGATGACTATGAGAGTAAGATGATGCAGTGTGGGAAGTGTGATCGCTGGGTCCATTCCAAATGTGAGAATCTTTCAGGTACAGAAGGTTGGAGTCTTTTTATTACAGTTTCTTTCTCCCTTGGTACTGCTACATTTATAGCCCCCAGAGCACTATAAACCTAAAATTGTGGTAGTGTTATTTAAAGTTCTTTAAAAAGAAGTTATTGTTTAGTCTTTAGAATAAGTAGCATTGTATTGTTTGTGCTTACTTCTTCTGAACACATCCCTTTACTTCTTTGTTATCCTTTGTGGGTACCATAACCTATTGGTTCTCGAATAACCAAATCCTGGATTAGTATTAATTAATAATGTCCCTTTGGGAGATCAATGTGTACAATGTCCTACAGTATTGTAGCCTCGTAGGTGGGTTTCTAACATACAGCTTTATAGTAAGATCAGTGGCATAGTTTACCTTCTCTCCCTCTCTTGCTCTTCAGAGGACCTCCTTATTGTAGTTTTTTGTTTTCCTAGATGAGATGTATGAGATTCTATCTAATTTGCCGGAAAGTGTGGCCTACACTTGTGTCAACTGTACTGAGCGGCATCCTGCTGAGTGGCGACTGGCTCTTGAAAAAGAACTACAGATTTCTCTGAAGCAAGTTCTGACAGCCTTGTTGAATTCACGGACTACCAGCCATTTGCTACGCTACCGGCAGGTAGACTGAAGTTGCATTTTGTTTTCTGAAAGCTTGTTCTTAAATGGTTTTTACCTAAATAAATAAAATTTTAAAATTATTTGTATTATATTTATATTACCTAACAATAGAAAGGATTTTTTTTCTTGTTTTGCTTTGTTCTTTGTTTAGTTTTATAGTTACTTGTTTTGGTGATAACCATTAGGGAAAAGTTTTAGGATAAGTTCTTCTGTATAATAGGAAGTAGAAAGGGACTGTATCTTCAAAGGCGTTGCTACTATAATAAGAAATTTGGATTTTTTACTCTGTTGATAATGGGGAGCCAGTGAAGAACTTTACCCAAGAGTAAAGTTATTTTTTAGAGGGGAAAAAAAAAAATTCTCCACTGGAGTAAAGAAGAAGAATTAAGAGAGGTTTAAGCCTAGAGGCAAGAGCAATATTGGGAGGCAGGCATAGTAATCCACTTGAAAATTTCTGCTTTTTGTCCAACTTGTGAACTATGTATCTATAAAGTAGTCAGTCATTGGAAAAGGTATAATATTGAAAGAACCACCTAGATAACTTTAACTTAAAGTGAGGCTGATGTTTCACCATAAAGCTCATTTTTTGTTGTTTTTGAGTAAGAAAATGAATTATTCATGTCATATTCCAAAGGAGTTATAGACATAGTTTCAATTTAAAAATTTTTTTATAGTTGTAGATGGACAGCATGCCTTTATTTAATTTTTTTTTAATGTGGTGCTAAGGATCGAACCCAGTGCTTCACATATGCTAGGCAAGTTGCAGGCACTGAGCTACAACCCTAGCCCACAGTTTCAATTTTTTATACTAGGTTTGAAAATTATCAAGGAAAACTCCTAAGCTAGCCTAACTAAGCTATTAGGTAATAGACTTATTTTAACTTCTCAGAAATCATTTTCACTTTTGAGAAATCTTTGGTTCTTTTTGTGTTCTCTTTTTTGTAATATGAATTATTCATTACCATCTTTATGAACTTTAATAGAATGTGCATGGATGCCTCATTTTAAGAGTTAGGTTAAAGAAACATCTGTTTTCTGGCAACAGGCTGCGAAGCCTCCAGACTTAAACCCTGAGACAGAGGAGAGTATACCTTCTCGAAGCTCTCCAGAAGGACCTGATCCCCCAGTTCTTACTGAGGTCAGCAAGCAGGATGATCAACAGCCTTTAGATCTGGAGGGAGTCAAGAGGAAAATGGACCAGGGGAGCTACACATCTGTGGTATGTCTCCACAGCAAACCACCAGTGTTTCAAGTGCCAATTTAGTTTTCTTAGATCTTTGTGGAATGATGCTGGTATAAGTAAATTTTAAAAATTATTTGTATTATATTTAGAAATTTCATCTGGCTTTAAATAACCTAAAAGTATATGAGCTATTTTAGCAGTGTGATTCAAAAGAAGGGTTATTATATGGTGATATCTTAAAATGTTATTTTTTATTTGGCTTTCAACTGAGTTCTCTGAAAATTATTTTTATGAGAGGAAGCGCTAAGAACTATTTATGGGAAAAATGCTAATGTGAGGTTAATGTGTTCTCTTTTGAGCTCAAATCTGAATAATGTGTCTTTATGATATTCAAGTGTAGATAGATTATCTTAATTTTATGATTTTAAGAATGTATAGGGATTTATCATTTGTTATCTCATGGTCTGTATTTGCTCTTCAATTCTATACTCATTTTGTTCCAAATAAAAAATTGTGAGTCTGTCTAGATAACTTTCCATGATAGAGCTAATTTGTTTACATTCTTGTCTTATTAGCCTTGCATCTCTTGATTGCTTTAAGTTAGTTGTGAAGTGAATCCCACAGGCCTCAGCCAAAGAGGAGTGACACTATATTATTAAAATAGGGTGTGAGTTTTCTGTTGGATCTCTGTGCTGGAAGAGGAAGTGATTTTTAGAGTTTGCTGTTTTATGAATAATTAATGTTTTATTTTTGTATACAGTTGGAGTTCAGTGATGATATCGTGAAGATCATTCAAGCAGCCATTAATTCAGATGGAGGGCAGCCAGAGATTAAAAAAGCCAACAGCATGGTCAAGTCCTTCTTTATTCGGGTAAATGATATTAATAGTTCTGTTTTTATTGCTTACCTATGACTAATTGCTCCATGAATATAACGGACCTATTCTCTTTACTGTTTGCTTTGCCACATGTACAAAACACCTTTTAATTTTATTTGTTCCTCTGCTTCTTTGGGAGGAAGTTGCCTGAGTGGATAGTTCTTTGCCTTGGTAGCCTGAAATTATTTTCAATGTTAACAGTGATGTTGGTGTGAAGTTGTCAGTTTTTTTGTGGTTTCCAAATGAATGGTAACATATTTACATTGTTTTTCTTTTAGCAAATGGAACGAGTTTTTCCATGGTTCAGCGTCAAAAAGTCAAGGTTTTGGGAGCCAAATAAAGTGTCAAGCAAGTAAGTTAATTAAGTACTGTACTTTCTTATCAACTAGAAATCAGAGTTCTAGGAAGTTTTAATATTAAAAATGAATCCGTTGAAGGGCTAGGGTTGTGGCTCAGCAGTAGAGCACTTGCTTGTCTGGCTTGTGTGAGGCACTGGGTTCAATTCTCAGCGCCACATAAAAATAAATAAAAATAAAACAAAGGTATTGTGTGTATCTACAACTAAAAAAATAAAATTAAAAAAAATGAATCTGTTGAGATGCCTTTTTAGTGCTGGTTTTGGAGCCAGCATTTTAGTTCATTGTAGGCTATTGCCTCTTTTTTCACTTACATATTTGTTAGGTTTTAGGGAATTTTGTTTAATTTGTGGCATAGGGACAAAACATATGTGATACAGCTGCATAGTTGTTATAATTGGGTTCTGTTTTACTTAGTTTAAACGATGCTGTGTACTACTCTTGATTCTTCATATTTAACCTTTAATTTTATTCCAGTAAATTCTTTTGATTTGGGGAGAAGGACAGTACTGGGGATGAAACCCAAGGACTCGCACATGTTAGGCAAGCAATCTACCACTGAGCTACGTCACCAGCCTGCTTTTTTTTTTCTTTTGTAGTTGTAAACAAATAGCATGCCTTTATTTATTTATTTATTTATTTATTTAGTGTGGTGCTGAGAATCAAACCCAGTGCCTCACACATGCTAGGCAAGCGCTCTGCCACTGAGCTACAGCTCCAAAACCCCAGCCTGCTTTTGATATTTGAAAGGGTTATCAATTATTTCTAGAAGTTTAGGCAAGAGTAATATATTGAGATTATGATATTAAAATTAAAGTTCTGTGTATTTTGGCAGTTTTCCAATTCTGTGACTTAGTCTTACATTTTGTAAATAGCTCAAACATGGGTCCAAGACCTGATGATATCAAGAATTTGATTTTGTATGGTTTTAGGTATATTGTAGGAGTTCAATAAATACTTGTTGAATCAATTATTTTCAGCAGTGGGATGTTACCAAACGCAGTGCTTCCACCTTCACTTGACCATAATTATGCTCAGTGGCAGGAGCGAGAGGAAAACAGCCACACTGAGCAGCCTCCTTTAATGAAGAAAATCATTCCAGCTCCCAAACACAAAGGGCCTGGAGAACCAGACTCACCAACTCCTCTACATCCTCCTACTCCACCAATTTTGAGTAAGGCACCAAAGAGTTATCCATTTTTTGCTAGATGCAAATAATTGACATTGTGAATCTAAATTTAACATACTTGAAAAAAAATTTTAATATGCTTGGATATCAAAAAGAAATTTTCAGGTCATCCTTAAATGTAATAGCATCATTGTTTTTGCTTACTTGAGATGTTAACAAGACCTTAAGGTAAAAATACTTGAGTATTATGTAGATGCTGAAATAGCATAACTTTGAACACTTTTCCCCAAAGTATTTTTTTATACACTATTTTAACTGGAAATCAGAAATAGTACTGCTAATTTTAACTGAATGTCTTCTGGGTTCTAAGGTACTGACAGGAGCCGAGAAGACAGTCCAGAGCTGAACCCACCCCCAGGCATAGAAGATAATAGACAGTGTGCATTATGTTTAATGTACGGTGATGACAGTGCTAATGTAAGTATTTTGGGACCAGAGATCCTAGTTAACAAGCACTTCACATGGATGATTTATCCTTTGTGTCAACACTTGTTGACTGAGTACTGTTTAATGAATGTTTCCTTAAAAGTGGCTCTTAAATTTTTTTTAAACAATTGATTTAGTTGATTCAAAGCTAAATTAATTGATTTGCCTTAAATTAGTATGTGAAGTAATTTTATTTCATTTTTTGTGGTATTGGGATGGAACCTAGGGCCTCACACATGGTAGCAAGCGTTCTACCCCTGAACTCCATCCCTAGCCCTGATGTCCAGTATTTTCTATTAGAAGTTTCTCAAAAATTTCACAAAAGTCAATAAAATATAAGTTACATTTTACATAGCTTGTTTAGTTTAATGTAAGCCAGCAGAGTGGTTAAGAGCTCCATCTGTGACGGCAGCCTAGGTTCTCTTCTGTGCTTTACCACCTACCCTTTGACCTTAGCCAGTGGTGTAATTTCTGACCCTTAGTTACAGCTTTAAAATGAAGATGATAATGCTTATCTCAGGGTGGTTGTAAGGATCAAATGAAATAATGTATGCAAAGCCTTCATTTAATGCTTGGCACATAGTAAGCTTTCAATTTGGGCAAGCAGGGCAGGGGATTTAACCCAGAGACAATTTACTCACTGAGCTACATCCTTAGTCCTTGTATTTGGGGGCGGGGGGCGGGCGGTGGACTTTAACTTGTGATCCTTTTGTCTCAACCTCCCAGGCCCCTGGGATTATAGGCGTGTGCCACTGCACCTGGCTAAGCTTTCATTTTTTTTCAAAAAGTATTTACTTAATACAGTTTCAGAGAATTGATTTTGAAATATGGTTTTAAAGAAGTCAATGCATATTTGTATAAACTTACCACATTGCTCATTTTTATATTCTCTAGATTTATAAAAATTTCCAATCTATAGAAAAAGTAAGCTAGGAAAGAGGGAAGTAGAAAACAGAAACATTGAAAGCTGAATTGTGATTTTTGTGTACATTCCTAAATTACAGAATTAAATTTGTTTTCTTGAGGTAATCTTCTCTGAAGTAAAGCTAATATCAAGGAAAGCTTCCTTTGACAATTTATTCTTTTTTTTTAATATTATATTTTAGTTGTTGATAGACTTTTATTTTTTTTAGAATTTTTTTTAGATGTTTGTGGACCTGTATTCTATTCATTTATTTATATTCGGTGCTGAGAATCGAACCTAGTGCCTCACATGTGTGAGGCAAGCACTGTACCGCTGAGCCATAACCTCAGCCCAACATTTTATTCATTAAGAAAAAAAATTTCTTTATTTCATAGGATGCTGGCCGTTTGCTATACATTGGCCAAAATGAATGGACACATGTAAATTGTGCTTTGTGGTCAGCGGAAGTGTTTGAAGATGATGATGGTTCACTAAAGAATGTGCATATGGCTGTGATCAGAGGCAAGCAGCTGGTAAGAACTTAATGTGTAAATTTTATGAAAGAGATGTCCTTTCATTTTCTAGGTATTCTTTCTGTGGGTAAAGAAATATGGTTTTAAAGAAGTCAATGCATATCTATATAAACTTACCACATTGCTCATTTTTATATTCTCTAGATTTATAAAAATTTCCAATCTATAGAAAAATAACTTGTTGGCTAACTACTCAGAGTAGTTAGCCAACAAGTGTTGACATACATTATAGACAGATTGCTATTCTGATCTTTGGAAGAGGAATACAAAAGCAATACAAAACAAAGTATTACCTAATTTGGGAGACAATTCAAATATGTGAGAAAAGTATCAATGTGTTAGGGGATTTAGACTGAATGAGATCTCTGAGGCCTCAGTTGAGTCAATATTCTGAGGTTCCACAGAATAAATTCATATAAATACATGAAGAAGAGATATGGGAAGTGATCAGTTGCAGTTGAGAGTAATCAGAAATAGCAGGAGAAAAATTTAAAAGCTCTGTTTTGAAGGAGGGGAGAAAGTGAAGGATTATAAAACAAGCTATCCAACAAACAATAGCACTTGCAAAGAAGCAGTAGTAAATTGTGTGGTGAGTATAAACAGAAAGTCCTTCCTGGAGGAGTCCAGATTGAATAATAAAATAAGGTGGTAACATACAGGCCCAGTTGAAGAAAACCTTGGAGTCATTTGATAAGTTTGTTATGTCAATCTAGTAACTGAAGAACCATTATGTTTCTGACTAGTAAAACCTTTTTAAAACAGAGTTGCTTTGAGATGTTTTCAGGATTGATTTTTAAGAGTTTCATGTCTTGTAAATCAGTCATTAATCCTAGAAAAACTATGTTTTAGATCTAATCCTAAATCCAGTTGTAGTGTTTAAACGTATAGCTAAAAGGCTGTATGGTATGGATAGTCGTAGAGCGAGGATTTGAGGAAGCTAGTCTGATCCTCAGGATTTTTCTGGAGTTCAACGGATTACCATTCAACAAAATTAGTTTTAGGAAAATGAGAATGGGATAATTCTATAGAGGAGATGACAAACATTTAAAACATCTGAAAGTCTGAATAGAGCTCTGTTTTTTCTGTTTTTTTAAGCGATGTGAATTCTGCCAAAAGCCAGGAGCCACTGTGGGTTGCTGTCTTACATCCTGCACCAGCAACTATCATTTCATGTGTTCCCGAGCCAAGAACTGTGTCTTCCTGGATGATAAAAAAGTGTATTGCCAACGACATCGGGATTTGATCAAAGGCGAGGTGAGATAGCTTTAGTTGCTTTTATGTATATGTTTGACTTTATTTATTTAAAGCAGTGTTAGGTTCACTGCAAAATTAAGCAGAAGGTACAGAGATTTCCTATATACTCCCTGCCTCTACACAATATGCAGCCTCCCTCATTAATTGTGTCCCCCTCCAGAGTTGTCTATTTGTTGCAATTGATGAACCTCTATCAATACATCATTACCACTCAGCGACTGTACTTTATACTTGGGTTCACTCTTGGTAGTGTACATTCTATGGGTTTAGGCAAATGTATGATAACAGGTATTCACCACTATAATATCAAGCAAATGTTTTTACTGCCCTAGAATGTGTTCTGCCTGTCAACACCCCCAACCCTTGGCAACCACTGATCTTTTTACTATCTCCATGAATTTGCCATTTCCAGAGCTTCCTATATAGTTGGAATGCTATAGTATGTAGTTTTTTCAGACCACTTTATTCCAATTCACAATATACCTTTAAGTTTCTTCCACATCTTTTTATGGCTTATTTAGTAGCTTTTTGAATTCTTCAGGAATTTAGGAAAAAATACTTAAAAAAAAAAAAAAAAAAGCAAAATGGCAAATTCAGTTTTGCTTTCCTACTAGGCATTCCAAGGGTCACCTATTTATGAAAAATAAAGAGGTGCTTCTAGTAAGATTGAAAGGTGATTTTGAGATGCTCAGAGAGAGCCAGTACCATGAATATAATGTGTAAAGAGACATATTAACAGCAATCTTGGGTTTTTATTTAAGGTGGTTCCTGAGAATGGATTTGAAGTTTTTAGAAGAGTGTTTGTGGACTTTGAAGGAATCAGCTTGAGAAGGAAGTTCCTCAATGGTTTAGAACCAGAAAATATCCACATGATGATTGGTATGACCTGGACCTGGGTTATTGGGAGGACTGTGTTGTCATTGGGGCACTTTCTAGTCCTCAGTTATAAAATGATCCCTCCCATTATGACTTCTAATCAGTTCTTTTCTTGGTCAGGCTCAATGACGATTGACTGCTTAGGAATTCTGAATGATCTCTCTGACTGTGAAGACAAGCTCTTTCCTATTGGATATCAGTGAGTAAAGAGAGGAAGCAACCCTTACAACTTGAGCACTCTGAAGCTATGTACATACAGATCATTAAATGTAGAGGCATTGCTTGTTAGCTAGTTTTAATTGCTGTAAAAAATTTACTTTTTATAGGAAAGGTAGCAGAATACAACAATTACTAATAGGGCATCATGTAAAATTGTGGATGTGTAACCGACATGATTCTGCAATCTGCATTTGGGGTAAAAATTTGGAGTTCATAACCCACTTGAATCTAATGTATGAAATATGATATGTCAAGAGCTGTGTAATGTTGTGAACAACCAATAAAAAAAAAAAATTACTTTTTTTCCTAGTTCCCTAGTTCATTAGCTTGTAGATTAGGACTAACCCTTCAAGTCAGGTAAATCCTATATAAGAAGCAAAATGTTATTGATATAATTTTAGAATAATTTCCAAATAAAACCTAAATAGAAAACACAGGATCAGTCTCTTCAAGATTCCTCTAAATCCCAGTCTTGGATTTAAAAATCCAGATCTTTTCACAGATCAAGCATCTCATATCCTGTCCCAATCCCCCCACCCCCACCCCCCACTTTCTTTTACAGTGCCGCGGGTTCAGCGATTCAACACAGGGCCTGCACATACTAGATGAATAGTCTTCCACTGAATTGCAGCCTCCCTGGTTTTATATTTTATAGATCTTTCTAAAATTTAAGTCCCCATAATAATCATCGAATTCTCCAGACAGAACTTATATCTGTTATATGAAATAGGTAGTTTAAGTATCCTACAAGCTGACAGTATAAATTCAGAATTACCCTTCTACCTCTCCCTTATTGGAGTCTCATTTTGCAGTATATACTTCAATTTATTCTGCGTTCTAATTCTGATAACACAAACTATACTTGACATGTAGTTGGCAGCTCATTGTACAGACATTCAGCAGATTTGAAGCAATTATATTTCCTTTGTTTTGAGTTTCTCCAAAAGGAAACATCTCTGGTTTGTTCTTTACTTTAGGACCTCACTTTGTATACATTGTGGAGGTTAATAACTATTTTTAGTAGTAGTGGTATTTTTCTTTTTCTGAGTTTAGGATATTTTACTATTTTATGTGCCTGCTTACAATTTAATTTAAAAAAGATCTTGTGCTATTTCCTGAGAGGCTAAGAAATAGTAAGAACTTCAAAAACTTGTCAAAACCTTAAAGCTTTCTGGAGTGAGCAATAGATCATCCATTATCAGTGGAATCTATACCAAGAACCCATGAAATAAAGGTAAATTCTCTAAATCAAGACAGGGAACCCAGGATGAGGAGAGGTTTGACAATGTCAGTTTCTGTTTCTGTTCTCTCATGTGTGATTTTTTCCCTATCTGTTTGCCAGGTGTTCCCGGGTGTACTGGAGCACCACAGATGCTCGCAAGCGCTGTGTGTACACGTGCAAGATAGTGGAATGCCGTCCTCCAGTTGTAGAGCCAGATATCAACAGCACTGTTGAACACGATGAAAATCGGACCATTGCCCACAGTCCATCATCAATTTCAGGTTAGTTTTTAGTTGAAACAGGACTTGAGTTTGGGGAGTATGTACTGAGACTGAAAGATGAAAGAAAAACCATTTATATGGGAGGTCTCCTTTGTTTCTAGCTTGACATTTACCAGATAGCTTGCTTTTTATTGTCTCATTTGTTTGATATTTTAATCTTTTTCATTTAAGAGTTTTTATTTTCTACCACAGAAAGTTCATCTAAAGAGAGTCAAAGTACAGCTGAAATTCTAAGTCCTCCATCACCAGACCGACCTCCTCATTCACAAACCTCTAGCTCCTGTTATTATCATGTCATCTCAAAGGTCCCTAGGATTCGAACACCCAATTACTCTCCTACACAGAGATCCCCTGGCTGTCGGCCATTGCCTTCTGCAGGTAAAGAATTTTAATGACCTACTTGACCCAGGGTCAGCCCAAAGACGAATTTGTAATTCTTTTAGGCAACCTTATCTTTGTGACTTTTGCTACAGAAAAGAGATTTAAAAAAATATATATTTATTTAGTTGTAGATGAACACACAGTATCCTTATTTATTTTTACGTGGTGCTAAGGATTGAACCCAGTGCCTCACACATGCGAGGCAAGCACTTTACCACTGAACTACAGCCTCAGCCCCTGAAAAGAGAGTTTCAATTACCTATAGTTAGATGTAGCCAAGTCATTAAAACCAGTGACTTCCACATATTTGTTCTGTCTGTAATAGAATTTCTTAATTTTTCTCTTTTGTTCAGGAAGTCCTACCCCAACTACTCATGAAATAGTCACAGTAGGTGATCCTTTACTCTCCTCTGGACTGAGAAGCATTGGCTCCAGGCGACACAGTACTTCTTCCTTGTCACCCCAGCGGTCTAAGCTCCGGATAATGTCTCCAATGAGAACTGGGAATACTTACTCCAGGAATAGTGTTTCCTCAGCCTCCACCATCGGGACCCCTACAGATCCTGAGTCAAGTGCCAAAGCAGTTGATCATAACTTAGGGCCACTGAATTCAAGTGCTACCGTAGGGCACAGCACTCCCACATCTTCAAGTTTGCAAAGGACAGTAGTCACTATAGGCTCTAAAACCAGTCACTTGGATGGATCTTCATCTTCAGAAACGAAGCATTCTGGTGCTTCAGATGTGACATCCAAGGGCTCCTCTTTAAAGGGAGAAAAAATCAAAATGCTGAGTTCCAAGAGTTCAGAGGGATCTGCACATAACCTGGCTTACCCTGGAATTCCTAAATTAGCTCCACAGGTTCATAACACAGCTTCTGGAGAATTAAATGCTAGTAAAATCAGCAATTTTGCTGAACCTTCTTCAGCGCCATTTTCTTCTAAAGAGGCCCTCTCCTTCCCCCAACTCCATTTGAGAGGACAAAGGAATGATCGAGACCAACACACAGATTCTACCCAACTGACTAATCCTTCTCCAGATGAAGATACTGAAATCAAAACCTTAAAGCTTTCTGGAGTGAGCAACAGATCATCCATTATCAGTGAACATGTGGCATCTAGTTCCAGAGACAGGAGACAAAAGGGGAAAAAGTCTTGTAAAGAAATTTTCAAAGAAAAGCATGCCAGTAAATCTTTTTTGGAACCTGGACAGGTGACAACTGGTGAGGAAGGAAACCTAAAGCCAGAATATGTGGATGAGGTTTTGACTTCTGAATTTATGGGGCAACGGCCATGTAATAATGTTTCTTCTGATAAGATTGGAGATAAAGTCCTTTCTGTTTCAGGAGTCCCCAAAGTTCCATCCATGCAAGTAGAAGGATCTGCCAAGGAATTACAAGCACCCCGGAAACGCACAGTCAAAGTGACATTGACACCTTTAAAAATGGAAAGTGAAAATCAGTCCAAAAATGCACTGAAAGAAAGTGGTCCTGCCTCCCCTTTGCAAATAGAGTCAGCATCACCAACAGAACCAGTTTCAGTTTCCGAAAGTTCAGGAGATGGGCCAGTGGCTCAACCAAGCCCCAATAATGTCTCATCCCAGGATTCTCAAAGTAACAACTATCAGAATCTTCCGGTACAGGACAGAAACTTAATGCTTCCAGATGGCCCCAAAGCTCAGGAGGATGGCTCTTTTAAGAGGAGATATCCCCGTCGCAGCGCCCGTGCACGTTCTAACATGTTCTTTGGGCTAACCCCACTGTATGGAGTCAGATCCTATGGCGAAGAAGATATTCCATTCTATAGCAGCTCCACCGGGAAGAAGCGAGGCAAGAGATCAGCTGAAGGGCAGGTGGATGGGGCCGATGACTTGAGCACTTCAGATGAGGACGACTTGTATTACTACAACTTCACAAGAACAGTCATTTCTTCAGGTGGAGAAGAACGGCTGGCATCCCATAATTTATTTCGGGAAGAGGAGCAATGCGATCTTCCAAAAATTTCACAGTTGGATGGTGTTGATGATGGGACAGAGAGTGATACCAGTGTCACAGCAACAACAAGGAAGAGCAGCCAGATTCCAAAAAGAAGTAGTAAAGAAAATGGAACAGAAAACTTAAAGATTGATCGACCTGAAGATGCTGGAGAAAAAGAACATGTCATTAAGAGTTCTGTTGGCCACAAAAATGAGCCAAAGATGGATAACTGTCATTCAGTAAGCAGAGTTAAAACACAGGGACAGGATTCCTTAGAAGCTCAGCTCAGCTCATTGGAGTCAAGCCGCAGGGTCCACACAAGTACCCCCTCAGACAAAAATTTACTGGACACCTACAATACTGAGCTTCTGAAATCAGATTCAGACAATAACAACAGTGATGACTGTGGGAATATCCTGCCTTCAGACATTATGGACTTTGTACTGAAGAATACTCCATCCATGCAGGCTTTGGGTGAGAGCCCAGAGTCATCTTCCTCAGAACTCCTGAATCTTGGTGAAGGTTTGGGTCTTGATAGTAATCGGGAAAAGGACATGGGTCTTTTTGAGGTATTTTCTCAGCAGCTGCCCACAACAGAGCCTGTGGACAGTAGTGTCTCTTCCTCTATCTCAGCAGAGGAGCAGTTTGAGTTGCCTCTAGAGCTGCCATCTGATCTCTCTGTCCTGACCACCCGAAGTCCTACGGTCCCTAGCCAGAATCCCGGTAGACTGGCTGTCATCTCAGACTCAGGAGAGAAGCGAGTAACCATCACAGAGAAATCTGTAGCCCCCACTGAAGGTGACTCAGCACTGCTAAGTCCAGGAGTAGATCCTACTCCTGAAGGCCACATGACTCCTGATCACTTTATCCAAGGACACATGGATGCAGACCACATCTCCAGCCCTCCTTGTGGTTCAGTGGAGCAAGGTCACGGCAACAGTCAAGATTTAACTCGAAATAGTAGCACCCCTAGCCTTCAGGTACCGGTTTCCCCTACTGTTCCCATCCAGAACCAGAAGTATGTGCCCAATTCTACTGATAGTCCCGGCCCATCTCAGATTTCTAATGCAGCTGTCCAGACCACTCCACCCCACCTGAAACCAGCCACTGAGAAACTCATTGTTGTTAACCAGAACATGCAGCCACTTTATGTTCTCCAAACTCTTCCAAATGGAGTGACCCAAAAAATCCAGTTGACCTCTTCTGTTAGTTCTACACCCAGTGTGATGGAGACAAATACTTCAGTATTGGGACCCATGGGAGGTGGCCTCACCCTAACCACAGGACTAAATCCAAGCTTGCCAACTTCTCAACCTCTGTTCCCTCCTGCTAGCAAAGGATTGCTCCCCATGCCTCATCACCAGCACTTACATTCCTTCCCTGCAGCTACTCAAAGTAGTTTCCCACCCAACATCAGCAGTCCTCCTTCAGGCCTACTTATTGGGGTTCAGCCTCCTCCAGATCCCCAGCTTTTGGTTTCAGAAGCCAGCCAGAGGACAGACCTCAATACCACAGTAGCCACTCCTTCCTCTGGACTCAAGAAAAGACCCATATCTCGTCTACATACCCGAAAGAAAAAACTTGCTCCCTCTAGTACCCCTTCAAACATTGCCCCCTCTGATGTGGTTTCTAATATGACATTGATTAACTTCACACCCTCCCAGCTCTCAAATCATCCCAATCTATTAGATTTGGGGTCACTTAATACTTCATCTCATCGAACTGTCCCCAACATCATAAAAAGATCTAAATCTGGCATCATGTATTTTGAACAGGCACCCCTATTACCACCACAGAGTGTGGGAGGAACTGCTGCCACAGCAGTGGGCACATCAACAATAAGCCAAGACACTAGCCACCTCACATCAGGGCCTGGTTCTGGCTTGGCATCCAGTTCCTCCGTCTTGAATGTGGTATCCATGCAAACTACAACAACTCCTACAAGTAGTGCATCAGTTCCAGGACATGTCACCTTAACTAACCCGAGGTTGCTTGGTACTCCAGATATTGGTTCAATAAGCAATCTTCTAATCAAAGCCAGCCAGCAGAGCCTGGGCATTCAGGAACAGCCTGTGGCTCTACCACCAAGTTCAGGAATGTTTCCACAAATGGCGACATCACAGACTCCCTCTACTGCTGCAATGACTGCAGCATCTAGCATCTGTGTGCTCCCCTCTTCTCAGACAGCAGGCTTGACGGCTCCATCACCAGCTGGCGAGGCAGAAGAACATTACCAGCTTCAGCATGTGAACCAGCTCCTGGCCAGCAAAGCCGGGATCCTTTCTTCCCAGCGTGACCTTGATTCTGCTTCTGGGACCCAGGTATCCAACTTCACCCAGACAGTAGATGCTCCTAATAATGTGGGGCTAGAGCAGAACAAGGCTTTACCCTCAGCCATGCAAGCCAGCTCAGCCTCTCCAGGGGGCTCTCCATCCTCTGGACAGCAGTCAGGGAGCCCCTCAGTGCCGGCCCCCACTAAACCCAAACCAAAAATCAAACGGATTCAGCTGCCCCTGGATAAAGGGAATGGCAAGAAGCACAAAGTTTCCCATTTGAGGACCAGTTCTTCTGAAGCACACATTCCAGACCAAGAAGCCAACACAGCATCCCTGACCTCAGTCATAGGGTGAGCCATGCAGTATTGTCTCTGTTGTGTCTGTAGGATTTTATGCTCTGGATTAGGTCTTCAGGATTTTATGCTCTGGATTAGGGGCTGTTGAAGTAGTAGTCGTTGGGGAGGGACTTTTGGAAGTAAGTTGCATTAGTTGGGTTTTCTAGGTATTAACTTTGATGTTTTTTTTTTTTAATTACCTGTGGTGATTAATAGAGCAAAATTTAGCTCCACAAGTGAACAGTTTGACTCTTGGACAGAACTCTATCTGTAAATATACTTTGTTCTGATTTCAAACGGTGTTGCTGTTTGCTCCTGTTTCTTTTTTGCCAAGTTTTTACAGATACTAGAAAATACTTATTCCTAACTGGTGGGCAAAGGCCCCTGATGTACCCTCAGAGTCCTTTTTTAAAATGTCCTGATATAAAATATACAAGTGGGGCTGGGGATGTGGCTCAAGTGGTAGTGTGTTTGCCTGGCATGCGCAGGGCGCTAGGTTCTCTCCTCAGCACCATATAAAAATAAAATAAAGATGTTGTGTCCACCGAAAAGCTTTTTAAAAATAAATAAATATTTTTAAAAAATTTTTTAAATATACAAGTCATTTTTAAATATATATATGTATATATTTTAGTTATAGATGGATACAATACCTTTATTTATTTATCTTTATATGGTGCTGAGGATTGGACCGAGGGCCTCACATGGGCTAGGCAAGCACTCTACCACTGAGCTACAACCTTACCCCAACAAGCAATTTTTATTTTATTTTTTGGTACCAGGGATTGAACCAGGGCCATTCAAGCCACTGAGCTACATACTCAGCCCCTTTTTGATATTTTATTTTGAGATAGAATCTCACTAAGTTACATAGGGACTTGCTAATTTGCTGAGGCTGGCTTTGAACTCAGGATCCTTCTACATCAGCCTCCTAAGCCACTTGGATTGCAGGCATGCACCACTGCATCTGGCCTACAAGTGAATTTTTACATATGTATACACTTATGTCACCACCACTCAGATCAAGATATAGAACACTTTTAGTGCCCCAGAAGGCCCCTTGTGCCATCTCTTGGTCAGTACCCTTCCAGGTAACCATTATTCTAACCTTTACGACCATAAGTATTTATTGTCGGCTCACAAATTTTATCAGCTCTTGATAGAGTCATTTCTTTAGACTGGCCTCCACATTTAATTTGAAACATATGTACCTATAGTTTCATGCAAAAATACAAATACTTTTCTTCTCTACTCCAGGACTCCAGGAGCAGAGGCTGAGCAGCAGGATACAGCTAATATGGAACAGTCTTCACAAAAGGAATGTGGGCAGCCTGCAGGGTAAGCATAAAAATTAATTCTCTAAAATTAATACCTCAACTTTGTCATTTAAAAAATAGTTCCTCTCTATTTTCATAGGCTTTGGTTTTGTTGTCTTTTTTGCTTAATGGAATTAATAAAAGCTTATAAAAATCAGGGCATAGAATCATTTGGATAATAGTTTGCTGTTTGTTCTGCCCACCCCTTCTCAATCTATTCCCTAAAGGTGACTGTTGGTAATAATATATGGTTTAGTTTGTATGTGAATATGTATTTTTTTATGTATAAAAGGAATAACAGCATAGCTACTATCTTTTACTTGTTTTGTTTTGTTTTTTAATTTACGGGATTGTTTTCTATATATCTTTCTGTGCTAGTAAAAGTCACTTTTTTAGTGGCTGCCTTCAGTACTATTTTGTGGATCTACAATGATGTATTTAACTTCTTTATTTAATATATATTGGTACACATTTGGATTGTTTAAAGATCTATTAATTTTACAAAGTGAAAATTGATGGTTTACTAGTTCATGCAGCTTACTTTTAGTTAAACCAGCTAGCTTATTTGAGTAATTGTAGAATAGCTTCTGACAAGTGTCCTTTCATTTTTTTCTAAAACTAACGATATGAGAAGACTTTTAAGAGCACATTTCACAACTTCAAAAGCAAATACCTAATGTCAGTATTTGGAAAGGAATATCATGAAAGACAGTTTTATTTTGTGGGCCATTCAGTAGTATGGTGGTGGTGGTGGTGGTCATTTAGCAAGTTTTGTATAACTAACAACTGAATGATGTTCAAGAACAAGGGCAGTATGTATTCCTAGCTGGTGTTGTATCTTACATCTGGTTTTATTTTCATTTAGACAAGCAGCTATTCCAGAGATTCCAGTAACCCAAAATCCAGCAAATGAGCAAGAAAGTACAGGTATGTGACTAATTGGTTAGAATCACAATTTTAAGCTAGGAGTATTAAAATTACCTACTTTACCTCTAAGCTTCAAGCAGTTAAATGATTGGTTGAAGTTAGACAGAAAGTCAGCACCTGTCTTCTAGCATTCTTCCACCACATAATCTGTGATCATCTGTCAGCTAAGGGACACAAAACATTGCCTGTAAAATCTCTTCTGCTCTACTGGCTTTAACAATGAAATTTAAATAGCTAGAGATAATCTGACTTTATCCCTTAGGTGTTGCTATAGGAAACCAAGAACCATTTTATTAGATGGATTTTGGTTCTACCACCAGGTACATATCCTAGCGCTTTTCATCTTTTGTAACAAATTTCGGTCAGGAAACAACTGGGCCCTGCATTCAAGATCAGAAGCCATGAATATAAGGCCTTTCCCTGTTCCATAGAGAATTCTCTTCTGGATAGAGGGTTCTCGTCTTCAGAAGAGAACAAGGTGGAGAACGGGCCCAGGCATGAGATTTATTGTCACATCCTTATAATTTGCTGATGTTGCAAGGGGGCTGACACATCTATTGATGGAGGAAGGCAAGGGAGGGTGGGGACTGAGAATGAGGACTTTGGAGCCAAATGAGTTAGAATCCCTACTTGGCCACCCAGTAGCTCTGTGAACTTATTAGCTTGTTATTCTCCTTTCTCTGCCTCAGTTTTCTTACCTTTAAAATGGAGATTATAATAACACTTACTTTGCTGGGTTGTTATAAGGTTTATGTGAGTTCATCTGTGAAGTTTTTGAAAGAGAATCTGAGACATAGTAAGTACTTCACATATTAACCATTATTATTTTTTTTTAGCCTTGACTCTACCGAGAACAATTACTTATGGGAAAAGTATCAGATTGTCTGTCAAACCAGAAACTACTTTAGAAACTACAAGACTTTATGTTGAAAACAAAACAATAAAACAGTTGTAATCACTTTCTAGCTATGATGGAGGGCAAGGTCTTTGAGCCTCTGTTTTTTTTCTGTGAATGGGAGTAGTAATACCAACAATGACATGTTGTTAGCTTAGAGATAGTGCTTGTAGTCTGCAGAATCAGTGTTCAGTAAGCATTTGTCATTGCAACCACTTTGGTTCCCATTTGCCTCCTCATAGAACCTAAAGCAGTAGAAGAAGAAGAAAGTAATTTCAGCTCTCCACTGATGCTTTGGCTCCAGCAAGAACAAAAGCGGAAGGAAAGCATAGCTGAGAAAAAGCCCAAGAAAGGACTAGTTTTTGAAATTTCAAGTGATGATGGCTTTCAAATCTGTGCAGAAAGTATTGAAGGTGAGTAGTTAAATTAGGTAGACCCAGCAACAGAGACCCTGTTTCAGCTATCTCTGTTCTTATGTGTATTATGTCATTGAGGTGTGCCAGATTGTGCCAGATTTTATGAAGGATACTAAGAAGCATTATGTATTTTCTTTGTCCTTTAGAAATTTGTCTTAGATATTTCACGTGAGAAGTTAATGATACAGAGTACATATCATTACCACTTGCTCATTTTAAATTTTATATGTTCCTCTCTCTTAAGCCTTACTTTGTAAAAGTTTTCATTTTTATGACTTAATTAACATAAAGGATTTTACTTTCTTATTTATATTGGTATCCCTGGTATGTAGGTGAAAGAGTAGGGAATCTTCTCTAGGTTATAAGTACTAGAGAATCTCAAAGGAAAGAAAGATCACTCTGAGTAACTTAGGGTTATCCAAGAACCCATGGAGATTAATAGGAGATTGAGTTTAAGAAGATAATAGAAATTGGGTTAGGCAAACAGGAATGGGGAGGAGGGCTTTTGAAGAAGGGATGTAAACAAAGATAGATGTAATCACACATGATAAGTTTAGAGTGGTGTCAGATGAGAAGTTGACATTGAAATTCATGTCAGGTAATAGTGAAAGAAAAATTGAGAAGGTGAATTTGTCACAAGTTTTGGAGGACGTGCACTGCCAAGCCCTGAGACCTTTGCAGTTTGGGGGGAGTAAAATAAAGGCAAAGTTTCAAAAGTGTAGCTCCATACAAGATAGATTGAACTGGAGACATTGGGAGGCAAGAAGTCATTCATGAGAGTATTACTACAATAGAAATGCCAAGTAATAAAACCCATGTAGGAAAAGAAAGAATGGACACATTTTGTGACTGCTTAGATAATAAGGAGTAGAGAGGACAAAGCCAAAGATGACTTTTCTAAGCCGGGCTCATTGGCACTCACCTGTAATCCCAGTGGCTCTGGAGGCTGAGGCAGGAAGAATCACAAGTTCAAAGCCAGGTTCAGTAAAAGCGAAGTACTAGCAACTCAGTGAGACCCTGTCTCTAAATAAAATACAAAACAGGGCTGGGGATGTGGCTCAGTGGTTGAGTGCCCGAGTTCAATCCCTGGTACCCCTTACCTCCCCCAAAAGATGTTTCTTCTGAGCAGGTGTGATGGCACATGCCTGTAATCCTAGTGATTTGGGAGACTGAGGCAGGAGAATCACAAATTAAAGGCCAGCTTCAGCAACTTAGCAAGAGCCTGTCTCAAAATTCTAAAAAATAAATAAAAAGGAATGGGAAATGTGCTCAGTGGTAAAGTACCCTTGGGTTTAATCCCCAGTACAAATAATAATAAGGTAAGGAGGAAAAAAAAGCTACTTTGAAAGTATGAGAAAGTGTGAGCTCTTCTTTTTTGGGGGTGTATGGGGGATTAAACTACTCCCCATTCTTATTTGCCTAACCTAATTTCTATTACTTAAACTTAGTCTCCTATTAATCCCAATGGGTTTTTGGATAACCCTAAGTTACTCAACAGTGATCTTTCCTTTGAAATTCTCTAGTACTTTTAATGTAGAGGGGCCTCAACCACTGAGACACATCCCCAGCCCCTCCCCCTTTTTTTTTAAGAGAGAGAGGATTTTTTAATATTTATTTTTCAGTTTTTGGTGGACACAACATCTTTATTTTATTTTTATGTGATGCTGAGGATCAAACCCAGCGCCCCGCGCATGCCAGGCGAGCGTGTTACCCCTTGAGCCACATCCCCAGCTCCCCAGCCCTTTTTAAATGTTATATTTAGAGCAAGTGTCTCACTGAGTTGCTTAAGGCCTCACTATATTACTGAGCCTGGCTTTAATCTCTCAATTCTCCTGCCTCATCCTCCCAAACTGCTGGGATTACAGCATGTGCCATCATGCCCAGCCAAAAGTATGAGTTCTACATGAGAAATAATTGTAGAATGGCAGGTCTATAGAAATACAGTGCTGGGGTTGAAGCTCAGTGGTAGAGCACTTGCCTAGCTAAAAGGTTATAGAATCTTAGGTTAGAAGTTGAAGGAATTAACAAACAAATAAATAAATAAAAAGAAATCAAAGTAATTGTAAAGGTTTTCTAGTCCCAGACCTTAATTTTAAGGAACTAAGGTTATGAACTACCCACATTCCTGGTTGCATCTTTTCACCATTTGGGTTAGGGTTACAGAATACAATTAATTTCAAATGTTTAGGTGTAGCATCCAATCTTCCACCAGGGAATGCGAATGCTTTAGGGACTCAGGGCAGAAATCTCCTGACTGCTTCTGTGACCTAAGAAGGGAACACAGATGGCTATTGTAACTTCCCAGCTACTTCCCCATGCACCCAATTGATTAAAACCATAAGAAAACAACAAAACACTGTCTGAACAGGGTATGTGCTCCAACTATAGGGATTCTAAGTATAATGCCTGTGCATACTGTTAGTATTAAGAGATGTTGGCATGAATATCTTGTAGCCTACAGTTTTCTTTTAATTTCTTTTAGATGCCTGGAAATCACTGACAGATAAAGTCCAGGAAGCTCGATCAAATGCCCGCCTGAAGCAGCTCTCATTTGCAGGTAATGACTAGAGCAATTATTTTACTCCTCCCTCAGAATATTCTGTCAACTTATTAGTCTCAGCCATAGAATTGATTCTATTAATAAAATTAAAAAAAACTTTTTTAAAAAAAGTATTTTTCACAGCTTTGAGATATAATTCACATATCATCCATTTAAAATATATAATTTGGTGGTTTTTATGTATTCACAGAATTGCTCAACCATCATTGCCTTATAACTCCAGAATATTTTCATAGTCACTGAAAGGAACCCCTGCTCATTATTAGTCAATTCCCCATCTCTTTCCCCTGACACCATGTTCTAGACCTTTTCATATAAATGGAAATCATATATTTGTGACTGGCTTTTCACTTCACATAATGCTTTCAAGGCTCCTTCTTCAGCTGGGAGTATAACTCAATGTAGAGCATGGGATTAGCATTTGTGAAGGCCTGGGTTTGACCCCTATCACCAAAAAAAAAAA